GGCCGTCTCCCCGAGGCCCAGGGTCCCAAGCGCTGAGCCCCTTGTTCCCTCGGCTGCGGTGGGTTCAGGCAGCTGCGCATCCTCCGCTGCTCCGGGTCGTAGGAGCCCCGCGGAGCATGTCGGAGGGGAGCGACATGGAGAAAGCCATCAAGGTAAGGGGCTGGTGCCCCCTTCTCTCTGCTTTGTCCCTATGGCTTTTCTCTTTGCTCCAGCCTCAGAAAGCGGAGAGAACTTGGAAGTTCCACCAGCTCCCGGGTTTCGGTCTTCCCTGGCTTCCGTGGACTGCGTTTTACAGCGCTGGAGCGAAGGGTTTGTGTGTGTGTGTAGGGAGGGATGTCAGACTCCCTCCGACTTGCCTGCTGAAAGCGGGGATGTGATTTGTGCTTAGCTAAAATGGAAAGTTAGTGGCGTGGAGATACTTGATGTGAGTAGGGCCGAGGAGGCCTATTTTCGATCACTCCCCTAGTGCCGGCTGTATTTGCTTCCGGATGATCTACTGCAACAGCTCTTGGAGAGTTGAACTTTACCCATCGCTCCAGATTTGTTTTTAATCCAGCCCCCTGGAAATCTACAGTTTCAAAAGGAGGTCGTTCATATTCCTTTTCCTCCTAGGGAGCATTGAGTTTATTTAGAAAGCGCTAACGGTGTCCTGTGACTTACTGCTTTGTTAACCAAAAGAGAAGAAAATATGTGTGTTCCAAAGTGACCCTAATAAAGTGACACATTTTTTAAAACCTGTTTTATTACTCTTTTTTTTTCAAACAGGCAAACACTGAGGCATTAAGGCACTAAGAGTCAGAAATTTATCATCTAGCTGAACCTAGGAAATTAGATTCTTATGTAAATTGAACACTTAAGTTTAAAGTTTGATATGTATTATTTATTTATGTTACAGTTTTAAGTCAACTCAGTGCATTTAAGAATTTCATTTTCCCTTGAGGGACAGGGTTATTTTCCCCTTCAAGCCACAATCACCACTTCCAATAACTAATTAAGAACTTACACTTCTAACAATATTTGGGGTGGTAAAATTTATAGAAATCATTAGTCATCCAAAGGAAATTTACCTTTTAAAGGAGGCATCAAAACAGAACATACACATTAAGGAAGATCAAATTTTAAATAATAGAAATAAGGTTCTAAAAAACTGCTTTGGTAGATCCATTTTTTTCTTTTGGCTTGAATTTAATTGGTACGGCGTGATGAACTGTCTAAAATTATATGACTGGGCTGTGAATCAATGTATATGTGGCAGATTTTTAAATTCAACAAGTATTATCTGCTTTGTGCCAGGTGTAGTCTTAGGCACTACTGGTGCAAAGCCAGACTCCTAGATGTCCCTCTTTCATAGAGCTTCTATCTAGATGGTGGAAATAGGTAATAAACGTTGCCAGGTGATTATAATTTAAAAATATTAAAAAGGGTGGGGAGTACTATTTTAGGAAGGGTAGGCAGGGAAGGCCTATCTGAGAGGTGACAATTGCACAGAGCTCTGAAGGGAATGAGGGTGCAAACCTTCACTGTCTTGGGGAGGAATATTACAGGCAGTGGGAACAGCAGGCACAAAGGTTCTGAAGTAGGTGGAGGTCTTGGGTAATCCAGGAACAACAAAGTGGCTGGAATATAGGTGGTCAGTGTAGATTATGTTTGAGAGAGGTAATGGGAAGCCAGAGTGCATAGGGCCTTTAGGCCACTATAAGAACTTGGGTTCTGACCCTGAGTAGAAGAGGAAATCTGGGAGAGTTTTGAGCAGAAGAGGGACATAATTCTAGTGGGCAAATACATAAGGAGAGGTGGGACAATGTTACTGAGTGGTTATGGTAGTTTCTCCAGGTTAACTCATGGGTTGAAATCTCAGCCTGGCCATTCATTTAGCTGTGTCCTTGCATAAGTCACGTCACTTCTCTGTCCCTTAGTTTCCTCATGCATCGAAAAAGGACAGAAAATATCCCGAGCTCAGGATAGATTTGAGAATTAAATAAGCACATATATCTAAATGTGCTTATAGTATCTAACATTTAGTAAGAACTCAATGGCTATTACCTCATAGCGGCTTAATGGTTTAGAAAGAGTTGTAGTCTTCTTCAGTTGGTTTTATTGTCCAACCCAATTTTCTTAAGAGTTTCTTTAGCTTTTCTTCATGTACTTACTAACAGGTCAGTGGTGAATCTTCCTATTAATTTGGGTTGTGTCCAGCCAGTACAATTAGTGGAATTGAAAATACCTGATCTAACAACCAGGACTGACTTGGATATACTCCCTTGGAAGCAAGCCAGCAAGCATCACATCGAATAAAACTTTTGGTCTGTGGCATTGTGTTGTAGTCATTGATTTGCTTGTCTGAGGCTGTCCCTCATTTGGTGAGATCTGAGACCTCTAGAATTCAGCTGGAAAAGCTATTTTCCTGGGCTCTCACCACAGCACTTAAACTTCTGTTGCCTGACTACCTGAGAGCCAGCTGATTGAACTTGAAGATCTCATCCTATTACTCTTAAAGATCTCAGGATAAGGCCAACTGACTACAACCAGAGGCTCTGTCTTCTCATTTCTGTCTCTGCTCCCATAGCCCCATGACTTCACTACTCCCAAGTCACTTAGCTAAACCTGGATAACGAGTATGTTGGGATTAGGGAGTCACACATTTGTTTTCTATTGTACATGGCAGAGTTTCAATATCTGATGAATTTAATGAAAATTCATTTCCTTAGTTTTAAAAACATTAAAAGATTGCAGCTATAATTTACATACCATGAAATTCACCCAATCTAAGCGTGCAAGTCAGTAAATTTTAGTAAATTTATAAAGTTGTGCATCTATCCTCACAATCCAGTTTTAGAATTTTTCCATCCCCCTGGGAAGTTCCTTCTGCCTCACTCTAGTCAGCCTCTACTCCAACTTCCCACCCCAGACAACAACTGATCTGCTTTCTGTCACTATTGTTTTGTCTTCTCTAGAAATTACAAATGATTGAAATACAATATGTACTCATGTGTTTGGCTTCTCTTATACTTTTGAGGCTCATCCATGTAAGTGCATGCACTAGTAGTTCATTCCTTTTTATTGTTGAGGAACTTTTATTGTTTCTCCATTCCCAGTTGATGGACATTTAGATTGTTTCCAGTTTTTAGCTATTATGAATAAAATGATAAGTAAAACTTGTCCATACAAGTTTTTGTGTGAACACATGTTTCATTTTCTTCTGGGTAAATACTTGGGTGTGGAATTACTAGGTAGTATGGTAAGTTTGTGTTTAACTATTTAAGAAACTATGAAACTTTTCCAAAATGGAATTGTTTCAGGACCATTTGTTAGAAACACTGTCTTTTGCTTCTTGAATTACCTTTGCTGAAAATCAGATGATAATTGTATGAGTTTCTTTCTGGTTTCTCTTTTCTGTTTCATTGATCCATATCATCTTCCTTATGTCAGTGCCACAGTGATGTGATTACTGAAGTTTACAGTAAGTTTTCAAATTGGGTAGTGTGAGAACCAACCTGGCTTTTCTTTTTAAAAATTAAGTTGGCTATTCAGGTTCTTTGTATTTCCAAATAAATTTTAGAATCAGCTTGTCAAAATCTACAAAAAAAGTGTGCTGGGATTTTGACAGGGATTCCATTGAATCTGTAGGTCAATTTGAGGACAGCTTGCCATCTTAACAATACTGTCTTCTAGTCCAAAACATGGTATGACTCTCCATTCTTTTTAGGGCTGTCCTCTTTCTCTCATCAGTGTGTTTGTAGTTTTCAGTGTATAGCTCTTGCACTTCTTTTGATAAATTTATTCCTAAATATTTTATTCTTTATACTATTAAGAATAGAATTGCTTTCTTAGTTTCATTTTTTGGAATTTTTATTGCTCATGTATAGAAATATGGTTGATTTCTGTATTTTGATTTTGTGTTTTGCATCTTTACTACGTTTTGCTTATTCTAGTAGGTTTTTTTTGTAGGTTCTTTAGGATTTTCTACATATATAAATTATGTCTTCAGCAAGTAACATAGTTTTATTCTTCCTTTACAGTATGTATACTTTTAATTTCTTTTTCTTACTTATTTCATGGGAAGAACCTCAGGTACAATGTTGAATTCTGAAAATGGCAAAAGTGGACATTTTGCCTTGTTTCTGATCTCAGGGAGAAAGAATTTCCAGACTTATCACTAAGTAAATTTTTTTGTATATGTCATTTGTCAAATTGAGTTTCCTTCTATTCCTTGTTTGCTAGGAGTTTTGTTTGTTTGTTTGTTTTTGTTTTAAATCAGAAATAGATGTTGGATTTTTGTTAAATGCTTTTTCTTCATCTATTGAATCATATGGTTTTTGCTTTTTATTTCTAATATGGTACATAATAATATTAATTGATTTTCAGATGTTAAACCAATCTTGCATTCTTGATGTAAAACCATCCTTTTATGTTTCTTTTTAAAAAAAATTTTGGGGGGCAGGAGAGGTAATTAGGTTTATTTTTTTAGAGGAGGTCCTGGGGATTAAACCCAGGATCTCCTGCATGTTAAGTATGCACTCTACTGCTTCAGCTATACCCTCTGCCCCCTTATATGTTTGTTTATTTAGTTTGCTAATTATTTGCTGAGGATTTTTGAATCTGTAGGCATGAGAGAGATAGGTCTATAGTTTTCTTATGATGCCTTTGTCCAGCTTTGGTATGAGGGTAATGCTAGTAGCTTCATAGATGAATTGGGAAGTATGCCCTTCTCTATTTTCTGGAAGAGTCTGTAGAGGATTGGTATTATTTAATTAAATCCGTAGTTCTCAACAAGGAGCAGTTTTTGCCTCTCATGAGACATTTGGCAGTGTCTGGAGAAATTTTTGGTTGCCACTACTGGTAGGCATCTAGCAGGTAGAGGCCAGGAATGCTGCTGAACATCCTAAAATGCACAGGACAACCTCACAACAAAGAGTTGTCTGGTTCAAAACGTCAGTGATGCTGAGGTTGAGAAACTGCTTTAAATGTTTGGTAGAATTTGCCCCTGAAGCCATATGATCCTAGACTTTGGTGGAAAGATTTTTCATTGTTAATTCAGCTTCTTGTTATAGGTCTATTCAGATTTCCTATTTCTTTTTGAGTCAGTTTGGGAATCTGTATCCTTCTAGGAATTTGTCTCTTTCATCTAGTGGTCTAATTTGTTGGCATGAAG